GGAGTCCTCAGTTGGAGCTCCAACAATGAATATAACGTTTCGTAAAAATGAGCAAAAGTCTGATTAATAACAATTGGGTCAGAGGAAACTGTGCCATCAGACAATCAAATTTCGGGTATAGAGCTATCAGCAACCTCTGTGTGGGAGAGATACGTCAACAACTTACCATTCTTCCCATTATGCTCAAGCAACTGAGCCGATAAATAACGTTGTTGTTTACGAGTTCAACTAGACGGAGCTGTAGGGCACGATGAGCGTTGAGTAAAGCCCCCTGAGAATCTGACAAGGGAAAAGAGGTATACTGAGAACATGCAGAGGACAAGAGGGCCTCAAGCTGCCGTTCGGTAGCCCTAGTGACCTTACGGTAACAAACAATATTGGAAATATAGGACACCCGAATTATAGCCTTAAAGGCGTCCCATTGACAACCCGGGGAAGAAGAGTGTTCATTATTAATCCCAAGAATTAAGCATTTTAGTACGAATGGGTCTCTGAAATTCTGGCATAGAGATCCAGAGTGGGCTGAGCCTCCAGGAGCGAAATGCAGGTTTATGGCCCAATTGCAGTTCTAACCATAGCGAGAGTGATCTGAAACATTCTGAGGAACATACAAAATAGAGAGCACCCAAGGTAGCACCACAGGTGAAGCCAAAGCATAATCCAACCTGGAAAGGGCACAATACGATTTGGATTGACAAGAATACACCCTGGCTGTAGAGAATTTCAAACGCCAAATTTCAATATAGTGAAAAGAGTCGCACCACTGCCCAAACAACTTAGAATCAAAGCAGAGGGGCCTCAAGCCGTCCAACGTAGGATCCAGGACCGAATTGAAGTCCCCCAATATAACAGTAGCAAAACAAGGCAGTGAAGACAATCATACACTCAAATCCGTAAACATCTCAGCCATGACAAGAAGGGAAAAGTAAACTGCTACCAGGATCAATGGGACACCATGTATTGAACATAAAAGGACATATTGACCTTTGGGGTCAATGATCACCTGATCACAGGAAAAAGGGAGGCCCTTACAAATCAACACAGACACTCCACGTGCATAATTTGAACAGGTAGAGTGGTATCCATGTAGTACCCAATGTTTCTTAAGGGAAAGAATATTGGAGCCCATGAGATGAGTCTCTTGGAGGCATAGGAAAATGGGACTTAAGGAGCTCAAAAACAAAGGCTCTTTTTCATTTATTCAGTCCGCGTACATTCCAGGACAAGAACATAACAGAAGACATTGGTCAAAATTGAAATATGGTAACTAGGTGGAAGGGTAACGGGCCCAGGACCAGCCGCAACCCTGTCATGACTTCGATACCACTAGGGGGAGATGGTGCACAATCACACAAATCAAACATAAAAACCAGCCACACCACGGGCAACCCAACAAAAAATATTTTTTTACAGGAAAACAAACAAGCAATAACCAAAGCCCCTGCCCAACTCCAAAAAAAAGGAGCGGGATTAATCCCAAAGCCGAAGACAGTCACGGGAAACATAACCTGAGGTCCCATGGTGGTAATAAAGGACCAAAAATGATCAAACAAGAAAACAGAACCAGTCAAGCTGGAATGTTAAGCAAAAGAAAAAACATACATCAGCAGCCAACCAACAGGCTAAAATAACCTGCTTACAGGGAAATAATTGTGACCACCCTGCCAAGAGGACAAGAAGGTAGTAAAAACCGCTTTCTTGTATACACTGCAACACGACCATCAAGGTACCGGAGGGAAAGAAGTAGATCTAAGGGGACGCGGCAGGGCCTCAAACCATGGGATGACCATATCAGGGGTCTGAAAAAAGTGTACTTTTATCTTGATGTACCACCCATAGAGTAGCAGGAAAGAGCATAGAGTAGGACAGTCCATGTTCCCGTAGTTTCTGCTTGACATGCTGGTATTTGTCTTGAGGTTGCACCCCGTCGTAGAATAACCTGGGAAGAGAGAGACCACAGCATTGTTGATGCGAAGGCTCCCTTTCAGGCGAGCGGCACGTAGAATCAAATCCCTGTAGATTAGAAGGCGAATCACCATGGTGCGAGGGGGGCTACCCTCAGGGAGAGGCCTACTTGGGACTCTATGGGCTCTCTCAATTACAAAGCAGGTAGATTAGCAGGCACAACCAAATTCCTCTTTCTGCTAACTCTCCACAAAGGCCACCGGATCAGACCCCTCCACTTTCTCGAGCATGCCCACCAACCACAAGTTATTCCTGCGGTGGCAATTTTCAAAGTCATCCACCTTCTTCTCCAGAGATTTAACTTTACCCCCATACAAATTAACTTTAGGCAGGAGAGGGTTAAGCACGTCCTCCAAATCACTAATGTGTTTTTCTGTAGCAGACGCCCGTTCTCTGACTTTATGCATGTCCTGACACATAAGAGTAAAATCAAGTTTGAGCTCTTCTACCTTCCCCATCAGATCAGAGTGATTTACCTTGATAGTAGCCAGAACATCCGATAGGGTGGGCTCCGCGGCCTCCTCTGCACCATCGTCACTGGGGGAAGTCTGAGAGAGAGCAGCAGCAGTGGATCCAGAGCAACAGGCGAGGAGGGTGGAGAGGCCTCCAGCGCTTCCCAGAACAACTCCGGAGTGGGGGCCGGGGATGAGCGCAGAGCGGAGGCCATCTTGGCAAGCGCGGGCCCAAGGCTCATCCTGGCCGGAGGCTGCTTACGGTGCCTTTCCATCCACCAAACTGTCAGTCAGGGAGGTGAGGATGTGCCTCAACAAGCTAGGGGTAAAAAAGAGCTATATTACCCTCGTGGGTGATCAGGATGGAGCAGCATTGTTGGAGGATAGCCCGGAGCTACTGTAGGGAATGTCTGCTCACATGGCACGTCAGGCCACACCCCAGTATTTCTACTTCTACTGATTATTTTGTTCAGACTGTACATAAATATTGCATTGTATTAAAGAACTTTAAGCGGTCTTTCAGAACTTAGATACAAAAGACCCTATAACCGTGTGTGAAATAAGGGTATATCTTTGTTGGTATATGGTTCCCCTAAAGCAGCCTCTCTCAGCTGGTGTGCTGTGAAGCATCCTCCGTTTCTCCTCACCTTCCTCCATGGCCAATGTTAAGGAGATGTGGGAGGGCAGCAGCTGCCTGTGGCTATCTCCTCTACCTGGAGTTCATGTTGTTCTTTGGGGTTCTTGGATGTCTCCTCCCCTGTGCAGAGTATCCTGGGTTAGGGCTCCTGGGAGCACTTAGATTCTTGTAGGTCAGCTGGAGTTGGTTGGTAAAACTGGAGGTTCTTTCCTTCTTGCACAGGTAGTCATGCATTAAGTGGCTGCTGGGGAGAGGCTCCTCCAACAGGCTCTCTGAACAGGAATTCCGAACATCTGCTCACTAGCTGCCCTGCCGCTACATACTGCTCACTGACTGCCCTGCCAGTTCATACTGTTCACTGACTGCCTTGCAACTACATACTGCTCACTGATTGCCTTGACACTACATTCTCTACATCACAAACTCCATTTTAGACTGGTGTGCCCTGAGATTTCGCATAATTTTAAAGGCTGCTTTGACTGAAAAAAGATTAGGAAACACTGTCCTAAGGTGCCACAATAATAATTTGAGTATGTGCTAGTGTGTTTACACATCGTAATTGAAATCAAATAATGGATTCTGGCAATGTGTTTTAAGTGTTTGTTCACCTTTTCAGAAAAATAAAAAGGTGAACTTGCACCGTACACTCCAACCCCTGGAACCAGTTAAATGTAATCAGAGCGTAATCTACATTGTACTGCTCAAAATGAGCACAGAGACAGGGCAGCTTTTCACTCATGAGATCCTCCATCTTCCATGAGAAGGATCTCCTGAGTGAAAAGCTGCCCCTGTCTCTGCGCTCATTTTGAGCTCTGATTACATTTAACTGGTGGTGTTTGTGGATAGTGTGGTTAGTGACATCTTCTTCAGAATTTGGGACTCTTTCCTGTATGATGGTTCAAAGGTGATTTTCCACTTTGCCCTTGGGCTATTTAAATACAAAGAGGAAGAAATTTTAAAAATCCAAGATTCTACATCTATATTTAAGTATCTTAGATACTTTAGCCGGACCATTCTTGATGCGAGATCTCTCCAATGATGTCCCTGTGATGTGAAGAGCCAGCATGGCTGTATTCAAACAGCAGAAGGTGGAAGACCTGTACGTCATATCAGATGAACTGGGAAGCCCCCCCCCCCCAGGTGGATCCTGTTAATCCGCACTTTACCAGTGTGAGTGGAGCACCTGCTGGATGGATGAGCATCCCTGGAGCCTTGAGAGTGATGATATGCTGATTACCTGTCTTGCGGTGGTTTGCCAGATGATCCCCTGATTTTCACCTTCCCAGATTCAGATGACCAGGAGTGGTCTGATGTACTCAAATGCGTATTATATTGCGCTGTCCGGTTAGTGCAATATACACTCATTCCTAGTCCACTGTAGTCATGGAATTCACTTAATTGATTTATTTTGGACTTGCAACCTATTTTATATATATATATATATATATATATCACCTTTGCACTTTAAACGTCATTATTAAGACATTTTTTCACATTAATGACCTTAGCGCTCTACAGTGCATGTATTTATGCTACTCTTACCATACATTTATTCAGGTTGATATTTATACGATATTAAGCGCTGCATTTTTTTCACTGGTTTATGAGAAGGTTTAGAGGTTTTGACTTTATGCTAGCTGCTCGCTATATATTATACCTAGCGCTCGTATACCCATTTCTGTTTAGCTATCGCTACTAAGCAACTGAACCTGGAAATGTTATTTAGAATTTTGGAAATAAAACATTTTAATTATACTCTTTTGTGTAAACTTTGTTACATTTTTTTAAATTTCTTAGCTAAATTTTCTTTGAAAATGAAAATGTGGGGAGGGGTGGTTACTTTGTCTTTCAGTGGCCACTTGTTTTGTTGAGGCACAGTTCCCTAACAGATTTTTTTTCTCTTCTCGCAGGAGATCTGTGGTTACAATCTGTGCCGGTGGAAGTTGGTTCTGGTAGCAGTAGGGGTACTGTGTACTGGTGGCTTTCTGCTGCTCCTTCTCTACTGGCTGCCTAAATGGCGTGTGAAGGCGACGTGCACTAGAAGGACATTGAAAGATTGTGATGTTGTGCTACTGAGAACCACTGTAAGTATGTGGGGGGCTGGAACTGGATTGAACAGACTTGGATGTACATGTAAACATCACTTTTTCCTTTCAGCACTTTACATGATCAGTTCTCAGAAATGTGTTCTTGATTGTAGGATTTATTTTTTCAACCTACAAAGAAAATATTTCATGATTGCTTAGTGGCTTAAATTCTTTGCATGAATCTATTAAACAAATTGGTACAATGCCACCGTAATTTATTTTTGGTATTTTGTTTTTTTCCATTTAAGGCGATAAACCCTCTCACTTCACACCTGCTTAGTTCTGCTTAGTGCTCGTAGGAGAATTAATTTCTTTTGTGCTATATTTTTGCTTACATTGAATCATATTTTTACTATCTACAGCTACTGATAATTTCAGAACGGACATTGGAAATCTTCGAAGTCTCTCCAAGTGGCCAAAGAGCACATATTTTCCCAGTTCATTAGGTACACTAGTGTTTTCTGCAATGGTCCAGCAATCCTCTGTGTTCCAGTCAGCACAGGAATCACTGTTTAGGCCAGGCCAGTGTACCTGGGGATTCCTCGCAGAGTTATCAGGGCCAGAGCCGTGGCAGCTTCTTCTTACCCTGTCTCCGAAAACTCACTGCTATGATTGACTAGCAGGCTACTTCTGTCAAAACTTTTTCCTAATGCCTGGACCATTTCTGCCTTCTCTCTTCATGTGTCGATCTCAAGAGTATGTGCAGCACTTTTGAGAGTGGAGCCCATGCATATGCCTGAAAACACACTCACCAACCTCTTTTAGCTGCAGTTTTCTCTCATCATAAACTGCCGACACAGAACAGATAATGGCAGAGAGCCCTTTGCCCCCTCAGTTCAAGAGGAACCTCCAGACTACTAACCCCCCTCCCCAGTGAACTCACTATGAAGTACAATGTTTAGTGGCAGTTTGTGACTTCCGCTACAGGTACCTTGCACATGTACCTGCAGAACAGGCGCGACTAACTGTCATTTTCCTGGGCCCAGGGCACAGCACAGATACCATCCTGCATGATAAAATGGGACTAGACATGCAGACCATTGTTTTTACTTTTCTGTAAAAAGAGTTGCATGACAGTAAACCAGTTTTTTTCACAAGCACCTCAGACAGACCGCCTCCTTTCAGGGACACAGGCCTTACACTGCAGACTCACTACTTGTGCATTTAGCACTTCACCTGCAGTGACTGTGTTCACATGCCATATCGTTGTTATTCCTTCTGGTACTTCCTTGGAGAGTTTCGGTAGTCTTTTTTTTTTTTTTTTTTTTTTTTTAACCATTTAGCAACTTCTTTAGTGCTAAATGTAAGGGCAATCGTTCTGCAGGTGGCATAATGAGAACCTATTTGTATTATGTGCAAAGTTGAGTTTGGTGCAGAGAAGAAATGTGCCATTTGTGTTTATCTTAAATTCCACCTGTGCCAATGACAATTTCTGACAACCACTATCAATTTGTGGCCTATTCCTTTTGCCTTGCACTTTGGGAGTTTTCACAGAGGTGCTCACACCATTTTTTTTCCATCTTACAGGTATTTTTGTATTCTGATACCTGGCCGATTTGCTGCTGCGAGAACAGACCTCTCTAACTTTAATTCCAATGTGTAAACCAAGTTGCAGACTTTGTATAGATCTTGAGTTTCGAGAGGTCACCTCTAATTGCGTCACATTGCTTGATGTACTTGGGAATACTCCTGGATACCGTTTTAATCTTTCTGCCCCAGGAAAAGTTGACAGAACTGCAATTTCAGGTTTGGCAACTTCAATCATGATATTGATCTATTTTGTATAGCTGCATTCAAGAATTGAGATTTATGGTATCCACCTTTTGAAGAGGTCCCATTTGCTCCAATTTCATGCCAAAGCTTTGTAGAGGAACAGTTTTCATGCCGTGAGCAAAGCCAGTCTTTCTGAACCATTTGAACCAGTTACATCCTCAGGCCAAGAAGTCTGTCATTGTGGCTTCTGTCCCCAGTTTTGATGAAGGACATGCTTTACTTCTCTTACATTGGAAGATTATCATGATGGATAGCAAACAACTTCTGGACCCTCTGTTCAGGGTAGTTGATCTTAGGAAGAATCAAAGTTTCCAGTCACCATCGTAGAATTATGAGCAGTTCCTCTGTTCACTGAACCCTCCTTTGACTGGTCATCTAGTCCAGGTTAAGCTGGATAGTTTTACAGCCAATCATTAGGGGGTAACAGGAGTGTTTTGTTAGTGATTTTATCCTGTTCCAGAGAGGGTTTCATGTGTTAGCAATTTCTGTGGTACATCTTTCTGGGTGGAAAGTTGGCAGGCAGACTTTCTGAACAACTTATATTTAAACACAGAGGAATGGTCTTTCAGTTCAGAGGTGTTTCAGGACATACATCAATCAGTCATAGCTTTATGACCACCCACCTAATATTGTGTAGGTCCCATTTTTGCCACCAAAAAGCCCTCTTTGTCGCCAAAACAGCCCTGACTTGTCTCGGCATAGACGTCACTAGACCTCTGAAGGTATGATGGTATCTGGTATCAAGGTATGCTGTGGTATCTGGCACAAAGTAGTCAGTAGCAGATCCTTTAAGTCCTGCAAGTTGTGAAGGGGGGTCCACCATGCATCAGTCTTATTCTTCCAGCACATCCCACAGATGCTCAGTTGATTGAGATCTGGAGAATTTGGAGGCCAGGTCAACACCTCAAACTCATTGTGTTCCATAAACCATTTTTTAACAGTTTTCACACAGTGTGGCAGGGCACATTATCCTGCTGTAAGAGGCCACTATTATCAGGGAATACTGGTTCCATGAAGGTGTTGGTCAGCATCAATGTTTAGGCAGGTGCTATGTGTCAAGTAGCATCCACATAGATGGCAGGACCCAAGTTTTCTCAACAGAACATTGCTCAAAACATCACACAACCTCCGCAGGATTGCCTTTGCATACTGCATCCTGGTACCATCCCTTCCCCTGGTAAGCGATTCGCATGCACCCAGCCAACCACATGATGTAAAAGAAAACTTGATTCACCAGACCACCTTCTTCCGTTGCTCCATGGACCAGTTCTGATGCTTATATGCCCATTGTAGGCACTTTTGGCTGTGCACTCAGGTCAGCTTGGGCACCCTGACCAGTATGTGGATACAAAGCCTTATATACAACTTACTGTGATGTATGTTTTGTTCTGCTTTCATTGCATCGACTTTGGGAAAAACCTGTTTACTTGCTGCCTAATATATCTCACCCAATTTCAGATGCCATTGTGACAGGATAACCAGTGTTATTCACTTAACCTGTCTGGTCGTAAAGTTATGGCTGATGTATTTCTGCATTGGGGGATGTCAGATGTAGATTTACAGTATTCACATCTCATTTTAACTAGGAGCTTAACAGGTATTTTTCCATGATGCGGGACTTTTTTGTTATTTGAAGGATCAATGCAGAGAGCATTTTAGTAATTTTCATAGCTTCACACTGGCCTCAGTGTGGTGTGCCGACCTTGTTTGCTTGTTAGCCAACAGCTCCATCGACCAGATCTGTTGTCTCAAGGATTGATGTTCATTCCCATCTGTGGGATATAAGTTGTATTGCCAATGTTACAAAGACCTGCATTTAAACCTATCTAGAAGGATTGTATACTCAAGGAGGTGGGCCTTTGTAGGTTTCTCATTGTCAAGCTGTGCTCCTCCGTGTACTCCGAGAAATCAATCCCTGTTTTTTGGTTTTTGTTGGTCGCTCTGGGTTATTGAAATATTGGGTATCTGCTTTATACTAAATTCCTAAATGAAGTTTAAAGATGTTGTACACTTTCAAATGTTTTTTTTGTGGTTTTAACTAATATTATTTGTATAGCTTTATTCCTGGTGGTGTTTTTTTTACCTTACCTTTTTAATAATGGGCTCACTTTCTGGCTGAAGATTGTAGTGGCTGATCGATTCCCCTATGTCTGTTTTATTCATTCACCTAGCTTGTATCAGTTCAGCAAAGGGGCAAGGCAATTTCCTGTTCCAGGTCCAAAATGCATGCTCTACACACTGCTTGTATCTCATCACAAATGCGCAAATGCTAATGTAATAATAAGACCAACATCATTCAGCTATACCAGTGAGCTCTCTGTGAGTTAAATTCACTAAAGGATATTGCATGCAATATTTGGGTCATGTGAAACATATCCAAATATTGCATGTGATATGTAAAATCTCAGTTCACTATAGGTGTATGCTGTATTTTCCTAAAAAAATACTTGGTTAACACTGCATAATCCATCTAAAAGGCAATTCACAAAAAAAGTAAACAAGCACATTTGGTAAATAAGTTGCAGTCTAGCAACCTGCTATTTAATGTATGTATTCAGTTACTAACTGGTTGTTAATGAACTGGCGCCTGCTGGCATCCTTAACCAGTAAATAGCTGTTGTTTTAAGGAGCCAGCACCCACTGTGTGCTTAACTACTAGTGACTCATCTGCTGATGTACATTCATTAACATTCAGGATGAACACCAACCTGCAGGGGGGAAAAGACTACTCCACTTCTCCCCTTCCAAGGCTTAAGAAAACAAAGGGGCTGAGTCATCCGGCAACATCTTTGACTATATCTGGACATGTCCTTACTCATTCACAGTGCGGGGGCAGTTATGGGGGCTTTCAGATTCCAATATGTTATCCCCGCACCCTCAAAATCACCGGGCCAGGGATGTGGGGAGGAGACCCTTATCCTTCTTAACAAGGTGATTTTCCAGACCCAAAGGGCCTGGTGCGGATTGTGGAGGAATGCTCACGCCATTTTTTTTTTTTTTTTTTTTTTTTTTTTTTTTAAATGGCAAGGAATCCACTGTTGACAGCAATGATGAGTTATGGTTAGTATGACCCTGTATATATACATGGTTAGTATGACCCTATATTGTACATTCACATCAGTCCCTAACCCTCAAGGGGCGTACAATCTAAGGTCCCTAACTTACATTCATATATATACATATTAGGGCCAATTTAGACAGGAGCCAGTTAACTTACCAGCATATCTTTGGAGTGTGGGAGGAAACTGGAGTACCCGGAGGAAACCCACGCAGACACAGGGAGAACAGACAGGTGGTGCCGTGGCTGGGATTTGAACCAACGACCCTAGTACTGCCAGGCGGAAGTGCTAACCATTTAGCCACTGAGCAACTGCACTTGCAGTGCACAAACTATTTGCATTTAGTAAATAAACCCCTATGCTTTTTTCCTTGCAGGGAGAACATGTTTTTTGTTAAAGTATACTACCACTTTTTAAATGATCATTATCTGATCAAATAATTGAAGTAAACTTTGACTCACTGCTACCCCCTATAGGTGATGAGCAATAAAGGCAGTCCTCTTTACAGAAATTGTGTGGTTTTAAAAAATAGAAAAATGTAGGGTGTAAGTAAAGGCAAAATGTTTATTTTTAGTTTTGGATAGAGTGGAGAGGGATTAGAATGGTTGGCAGTTTTTATTGCTGTCTGTGCCACCATTAGGAAGATTCACCCTCTTATTTGTCCTTTTTAATCACTTCCCGCCTGGCCTATGGTAAAATGACGGCCAGGCGAGCCTCTCGTCCCTCCGGGAGGGCGTCATATGACATCCTTCCCGGATCGCGCTTTGCATGTGCTCGCAGGGCCGCACTTTGGCGAGATCTATCACCAGCTGTGTACCTCGGACACGGTTGATGACAGATCTGTGTACCGGCCCCATTGCCAGTAACATGTGACCTGCTATGACCAATCACAGCAGGCCACGTGACAGTTGTATACAATGGATGGCTTCCTTTCAGGCCATCCATTTGTATACAAGTGTGTCTAGCTGTGATGTGAATGGTCACAGTGATCACATGCACAGGCTGGACCAATCACAGCCCATGTGTTATGTGATTAGCCATGGCCAATCACAGCTAATCACAACAAAAAACCTGAATGAATCGATTTCATTCAGTTAAATGCTAGCTTATACCAAATAAATTCTTTGCAATCATATTGTGTAAAAAAAAAAAAAAAAATACCACTTCCCCAAAGTAGTACGTTACTATGGTAACATTATACTACTTTGGTCGTAGTGTAATATGAAAAACAAAATTAAAAGAAAGAGAAAAAAAATGTAACAAAAAATATAAAAAAAAATGATCAACTGTTTTTTTTTTGCACTGTCACCTGTCTGTCCCTGATCACCGCCACACCAGTTATATGATGATGCTGTACTGCACTGGTGACAGTATGTTAAAAAAAAAAAAATTTTGTTAAAATATTTTTTTTAATCATTTTCTGAAAAATTATGATAAAATTACCACGTCAAAATACTCGCCATGCCTCTTATGAAATATGTCAAACTGTCTACTTTGCATTTGGGGGATATATGTACTGTTCTAACATTTTTGGGCCTCAAGAAATTAGATTGGCTGTCAGTACTTCAGGATTGATCAATATTCAGATCTATACCATAGTTTGTGAACTCTATAACTCTCCTACAGACTAAATAATAAATACTGATTTGGGTTATTTTCACCAAAGACATGTAGCAGAATACATCTTGGCCTAAATTTATGAAGAACAAATATCTATTTGCAAACTTTTATAAGAGAAACAAAGAAAAACGTGCCCCCCCCCCCCCCCCAATTTTCAGTCTTTGTTAATTTAGCAAAAAAATAAAAACCCCAGTGGTGATTAAATACCACCAATAGAAAGCTCAAGTTGTGTGAACAATATGATAAAATTTTAGTTTGGATACAGTGTTGCATGACTTCGCAATTGTCATTCAAAATGTGAGAGCGCTGAAACCTGAAAATTGGCCTGGGCAGGAAGGGGTAAAAGTGCCTGGCATTGAAGTGGTTAACAATATCACTAAAAGTGAAAATAAGAGAAGATTCCAAATTTTGGGTTGTCACTAGAAAAGAAATAGATGGGAAATCTAGTTAGGTCCATTAGGTCTGGTGACCTGGGGGTCTCCAAAGGAATTCCCTTAATTTGCAAAGATTTTCCCCCACTTCTTGTTTGAATATGAAACAGGAAGTAAAGGGAAGTCTCCACAATGGGACACAGATGGGAAAAAAAATCTGATGGGTTAAAAACCTTCCCTTACTTTATCCAAAATGGAGAAAAAAAATGCCTACTTTAACAGATTGGAATACATAGTTTTTAAATCTGCTCTAATTTTTCTTTTTTATTGCAGGATGAATTCAAGCAATGGTTTTGTGCAAAAGTACGAATACGTTTTTGTCCTGGAACTGACCCTTTCCAGAGTCCAGAATCCATGACAAACAAAGTGACCAATGGACATGCTAGCCACCTTCCTGAGAGTCCCTCTGAACACATTGAAGATCATCCAATGAACAATGCAGCAGTCCCATTACATGAGGTATGGGGCATTTTCACAGTAGTGGGAAGGCTAACCCACCCAGGCTTATGATCATTATTTGATAACTTCTGGTGTTCAAATGAGAGCAATTTTTATGATACCTGTGCTGTTCAAAAGTACTTATACAAAGGGTGTGGGAAGAAACTAAAAAATTTTTATGGAATTTAGCAATCTAAGGTGTGTTGAAATGGCACTGAATCATTTGCATACCAAAATCCTTGCACTTAATATTAAAAAATATACTAAATTAATTTTTTTAGTATGGTTAGGGTTGACAGGAGTGTTACGATTTTTCAGGTGTACCTTATTGTACCCTCATTAGAAAATCTAGTTAGCAGTTTTTTATATCAGGTTACATTATATAATATGAGAATATCTGGCCTGACCAATGAGATCTATTGCCCAGTATCTTTCGACCTATACCTATTTTTGATTACGCAAGGCTTATTCGAATGCTATGTGGATAGCCTGATTTATCGTTATTGCCTTTTTATAACTATAGTTGTACGTGGTTCAGCGAGTGCTAACAGGCAACAGCAGCTGATAGACTAAAAAGGGAAACCATAAAACCTTCAAAATGATATAAACCTAGTGCAGCGCTAGGAATTATGTATATAGGCACACCTTTGATATTGTATATGAAATGGTACAGAAATGCCTCAAATTACCAATAATCTAGACAACACAGTGTATAGATATAGTTCTCAACAAAGATGCAGTAGTGGAGTTATATCAAACACCTTCACTAATTATATGATACACAGTGCTAATAGTCCAAAACATCTGACGGTGATGAAACCACGATTAAACTGAAAAAGGAGACTTAATAGAATCCCAGCGACAGCTGTGATCCGGTGTCGTGCAGGAATAATAAGTAAATTGCACACTCACCAGAGGCGCAATATAACTGCGCATTTGTGTCATATACACCAGAGGTCCCTTCAATTGTGGATGGAATATAGCCTGGAATAGATGACTCCGCGATGGATAGTAACACTTCTGGGGGTCCCCTTAATAGGCCTGGCTAAAGACGGGATCTGCTGATTACAGCTCTCCTCTGGGCCCTGGGATGGTCACCTGGTGGTTCTGGGGATTAAATGCTCGATATGGAGCAGAAAAAAGTACCCATAGTGTAGTATTTAGGTCAAATTTAGAATTATTCCTGCATGACACCGGATCACAGCTGTCGCTGGGATTCTATTAAGTCGCCTTTTTCAGTTTAATCGTGGTTTCATCACCGTCAGATGTTTTGGACTATTAGCACTGTGTATCATATAATTAGTGAAGGTGTTTGATATAACTCCACTACTGCATCTTTGTTGAGAACTATATCTATACACTGTGTTATCTATATTATTGGTAATTTGAGGCATTTCTGTACCATTTCATGTACAATATCACAGGTGTGCCTATATACATCATTCCTAGCGCTGCACTATCTATATTTATAGCCTTTTTATAACTGATTTCGGTTATTCTCTGGAAAAAAAAAAATGTTTTTTTTTTCTTTTAAAGATATCTATTACAGCGCTGAGCAAACCCTTTGGCGCTATATAAATACTGTATAATAATAATCTATTAAAGAGCTCTATTGGCCAGGCTTTCTACAGATGCCCATTGTCAAATCAGTAGGTTCATACATCAATCATCTAATACAATCCGATATTTAAAAAAAAAACAAGATCCTACAAAACAGGACAGTGTATGTTACATTTTTAAAAGCATGTGGACTACTGAGAAGAAAATCCTATGTCTTGTTCCATTCCAGATTTACCCCCCTTCCTGACCAGGCCTCTTTTTGCTACTCGGCGCTGCAATAATTCAACTGATAATTGCGCGCTCATGCAATGCTGCACCCAAACAAAATTTACGTTCTTTTTTCACACAAATAGAGCTTTCTTTCTGTGGTATTTGATCACCTGTGTGATTTTTTTTCACGCTATAAACAAAAAAACCCCAAAAATTTGGAAGAAAAACAATATTTTTTTTTACTTTCAGCTATAAAAAATATATAGTAAACTCAAAGTTCGTTATAAATTTAGGCCAAAATGTATTCTGCTACATTTTTGGTAAAAAAAAATCCCAATAAGTGTATATTGATTGCTTTGTGTGAAAGTTATAGCGTCTACAAACTATGGTATAGATACTGCAATTTACGCTATTTTTTTGCTATACATCGCTGCGCTAGTTTAACGGACAATTGCGCGGTCATGCAATATGGTACATAAATGAAATTTACATCCTTTTTTTCTCACAAATTGAGCTTTCTTTCGGTGGTATTTGATCACCTGTGCGTTTATTTTTTGCACTATAAAAAAAAAAAAAGGCTGACAATTTTGAGAAAAAAAAACAATATTTTGGAATTTTTGCTATAAAACCTGTCCAGTAAAAAAAATTTAAAAATCAAGTTTAGTCATAAATTTCTGTCAATGTATTCTGGGACATGTCTTTGCTTAAAAAATATCCCAATACGTGTAAATTAATTGGTTTACGTGAAAGTTATGGTGGGAAAGATACTGGATTTTTTTTTTATTATACTAATAATGGCGGCACTCAGCGACTTATGGCGGTGATCAGCGATTTATGACAGTGATCAGCAACTTATGGCGGGACTGCGGCGGACATTTTGACACTGAGGGGGAACTGACTTGTGGTCACTGACATCCCCAGTGACACCAATACAGTGATCAGTGCAAAAAAAAAAAACACTGACACTGTACTAATGGCACTGGGGAGGAAGAGGTTAACTTTTATTAAGTAATGAAAGGGTTAACTGTGTGAGGGGAGTGTTTTACTAGGGGGCGGGGCTGTGTACTTCACAGGAACATGCTGATCCCCAGAGATAAAGTCTTCTCTCAGGTTCAGTGTGCTCTGAACTGACAGCATAGCTGCAATGTAAACACTGCAGCTGTGCTATCTGTCAGTGATTACTTGTAATCGCTGGCACCCGGCGGGAAATGACCCGCCGGGAGCCGATGATGGACACCTGCTGCCACGATCGGTGGTACGGGTAGGGCGGGCACGCGTCTCCTATCTGTTTTGCACAGCGACGTTAAAAGACGGTGCTGTGCGTACAGGTGCCGCCGTGCGGCAGTAAAAACACTGCGGCGGGTCGGCAAACGGTTAAAGGGAAACTGTAACATACCCTGTTCTGCACCTTCCCCATATCTCAAATTCATAAGCCTTTGAAGTAATAATTTGCCCACTGTATACGTAGCACTTGAGTTTTTGGCGCTTTGACTTTTTATTGGATGTTCTGTTGGAGCTTCTTTGTTAAATAGTTTTTAGGTTGAGTCAGTGCTGGAAAATTGCCTAGTGTGAAACAAAAGAAACCTTTTTATTCTGTTTTTTTACCAAAGGTATTGGTATTCTACAAAAAAAGTATAAACTTGGATTTTCTGACTTGCTTGCCCTTACAATTTGTTTTGTTTCTTAATTGAAATGCTAATTGACCTTTCTGCTTTTGTTCATCAGGTTCGTTCTTTTGTTCATCACAGTGTGACTTATTTCTGGAATGATTTACACCAAGCATTCAGCTCCTTAGGGTAAGAGTCTTAATTCATCTGTTGCTTATAGGAAATTCTGACTGTGTCTTATGGTAGTGACTACCAGAACGAAACCTCTCCACTTCTTTTACCACATGTTCTTTCTGTGTAGATCCCCTGCTAATTGTGTTTTAGCAAATTTTGACTTGCGTTATGATTTATACAGTCTTTTACAGGTTTACCAACAACTATATAGTAATGGATTTTGCAGAGAGAGAATGTGTGTGTATATATGTGTGTGTATGTATATTTGTGTGTGTGTGTGTATCTATGTATGTGTGTGTGTGTACATGTATGTATATGTGTGTATATACAGTCATGGCCGAAATTGTTGGCACCCTTGATATTTTTCCTGAAAATCAAGTATTTCACACAAAAAAGGTATTGCATTAACACATGTTTTTGCTATACACATGTTTATTCCCTTTGTATGTATTGGAACAAATATAAAACAGAGGCAGAAAAGCAAATATGACATAATGTCACACAAAACCCCAAAAATGGGCTGGACAAAAGTATTGGCACCCTTAACTTAATATTTGGTTGCACACCCTTTGGAAAACATAACTGAAATCAGTCGCTTCCTATAACCATCAATAAGCTTCTGACACCTCTCACCCGGAATTTTGGACCACTCTTCCTTTGCAAACAGCTCCAGGTCTCTCTTATTGGAAGGAGGAACCTTTTCCCAACAGCAATTTTAAGATCTCTCCACAGGTGTTCAATGGGATTTAGATCTGGGCTCATTGCTGGCCACTTCAGAACTCTCCAGCGCTTCTTTGCCATCCATTTCTGAGTGCTTTTTGACGTATGTTTGGGGTCATTGTCCTGCTGGAAGACCCAGGATCTTGGACGCAAACCCAGCTTTCTGACACTGGGCCCTACAGTGCGACCCAAAATCCTTTGGTAATCCTCAGATTTCATGATGCCTTGCACACAGTCAAGGCACCCAGTGCCAGAGGCAGCAAAACAACCCCAAAACATCATTGAACCTCCACCATATATTTACCGTAGGTACTGTGTTTTGTTTCTTTGTAGGCCTCATTCCGTTTTCGGTAAACAGTAGAATGATGTGCTTTACCGAAAAGCTCTATCTTGGTCTCATCTGTCCACAAGACGTTTTCCCAGAAGGCTTTTGGCTTACTCAAGTACATTTTGGCAAACTGTAGTCTTGCTTTTTTATGTCTCTGTGTCAGCAGTGGGGTCCTCCTGGGTCTCCTGCCATAGCGTTTTCATTTCATTTAAATGTCGACGGATAGTTCGCGCTGACACTGATGCTCCCTGAGCCTGCAGGACAGCTTGAATGTCTTTGGAACATGTTTGGGGCTGCTTATCCACCATCCGGACTATTCTGCGTTGCAATCTTTCATCATTTTTTCCTCATCCGTCCACGACCAGGGAGATTAGCTACAGTGCCATGGGTTGCAAACTTCTTGATAATGTTGCGCACTGTGGACAAAGGCAAATCTAGTTCTCTGGAGATGGACTTGTAACCTTGAGATTGTTGATATTTTGCCACAATTTTGGTTCTCAGGTCCTCAGACAGTTCTCGTCTCCTCTTTCTGTTGTCCATGCTTAGTGTGGCACAGACAGACACACAATGCAAAGGTTAAGTGAACGTCTCTCCTTTTTATCTGCTTTCAGGTGTGATTTCTATATTGCCCACACACCTGTTACTTGCCCCAGGTAGTTTACAGGAGCATCACATGCTTGTAACATTCTTATTTATCCGCAGTTGTGAAAGGGTGCCAATACTTTTGTCCAGCCCATTTTTGGAGGTTTGTGTGACATTATGTCGAATTTGCTTTCTTTCCTCCCTTTTTTTTGTTTTTGTCCCAATACACACAAAGGGAATAAACATGTGTATAGCAAAACATGTGTTAATGCAATACGTTTCGTGAGAAATACATGATTTCCTGGAGAAATATCAAGGGTGCCAACAATTTCGGCCATGACTGTATGTGTATCTATGTATGTGTGTGTGTGTACATGTGTGTGTGTGTATATATATATATATATATATATATATATATAGGTAAACCCTCAGTACATGGATTTGGTAAATCTAAAAGAGATAAAAAAAATAAAGTTTTAATATGTCGACATATGCAGTTTTTACTCTAATAGATACTAATAGACTTTGAGAAGGTGGGGGCTGGAAGTTGGAGAACATTTTAAAATGTTTTGGCTAATTTTTTCTTTTTAACCCATCAATTTGATTGCAGATTATTGGGGTCCAATAACAGAGATAATAGAGATAATATTGGGTTTTTTGCTATGGATTACTGTCCTTTCTTTTATTGAATAAGCCTGATTACCTATCCTGAGACATTTTCTCATCTTAGATCTATTTAATCAAGGACAATATTCATTCTTTGTAGGGGTCTGGACGAAGGGGTTTCTTGTTCTACCATGCACAGTGAGCACAGCCAAGGATTAAGTACAGAAATACATGATTACAGGTATGTTAATTACACATCATGACCATTGCAGGTCAGCCATTGTTAGTGCTGGTAAAGGTGACCACCAGACAAATATCAATAGATACAGTTTGAATAAACCTAACTGAACAGACTTCTCTGCCAAATAAGTTGTCATTTTATCCAGCCACTTTCATGAATTATACACCTATTCCGCACAGCCAGAAGGGTCACACTACATCTGTTGATAAAGTGGTGCTGTCTCCCTGTCTGCAATCTTCTTATTAGACAGTGAAGGAACAGCAAGAAACTAATTAGGCCTCATGCACAGAGAACTTTTTTACAGCTGCTTCTAGGGTCCTCTGGCTTTTTTTTTATTTTAAACTCCCCTGCATGTTAGCCTATGTGTCCAAGCACATATAAACACTGCTAGTGTGTTCAATAGTGTGTTTTGGCAGAAAAACTGGTTGACACTTCTAAATACGTGTGAAAGCTGGGTGCATTTAGCACTTGAGTGTTAATTTCTGTGGTCAGCATAAATGATTTATTCTGGCCAGTTAAATTAATTAACACCCAAACACTTGACAAGGCTGAATGTGCCTAAAGGTGTTATACACTTTTAAAAGTGTCATCCATTTTTTATTTGCCAAAATGCTGCTGCCAGGCTGCAAAAAGGTTTCATGTAGAGTTAGGAAAACGTCCTGTGTGCATGAGGCCTTAATCGGCTCCTCAATATATTCTTTTCTTATCCAACAAGGTTTTCACCTTACTGCATAGAATGCATGAAGATAAAAAAACCTTCAACCTTTACAATCACATTAATTTTCCTTTTGAAAGGAGTACAGCTTTGCATTAATTAGTGTTGTATATCTGCCTAGAGTAGAACTTTAATTAAAGTGGAACTTCACTGCATCTGCACTAAAAACACGGTTTAATTCATTTTTAATACTCAATGCAGTCTCCCCTATCCATCCATGTCTCCATACTTCATTTTTCTGAGAAATCACGTTGGAATCATCACCTATCATTTCTGGCTGTGGCCATCATGAGTAAGGGCAGAAGATTCATGTAGCATTCACGTCCTGGAATCTGTCTGCCCTTAATTCAGGCATGCAGGCAGGAGGGTGTGCTTAGCTAAGAAAACCCCTCCTGAAGACTGCAATGTGTGACATCATTTGCCTAAGCATAGAAACCAGAAAGTAATTTAAGCAATGTGTAAAAAAAAAAAAAAAAAAAAAAAGTTTAAAACAAGTAAATATGATATGCTACTAGCATTATTAAATAGATAGGAAAGTTTAAGGATTAAAAATAGTATTGACTGAGAGGGTGTAGTTCCACTTTAAGTGAGCTTTTAGAATCTCTAGGCTCCATATATAAATATGTATATGCCTGCTTTTGGTAACATTTTGTAGGCCTTGGATAAGTTTTTTCATGATATACCTGTATTTAATCTTAGAACATAATGTAAACATGTTACCGTTGAGGGGTTTGAGACCTGAACTTCTGTTGCATATGCCCTTCTGGGGATTAAAATTCCAGCCCAGGAACCTGTGATGATGTAGATCTTTGTATCTAAACCATATTATATGCAAACAATGTCTCCATATTATTATACTTTTGTTTTTGGTTCTTGACTCTATGTACATCTGTCTCCCTCAATTCATTCCTCTGCTGCTTTATTTTACACTTTCCCTGAACAGAAAGTTGCAACATTCCCATTGGGTACTGTGGGAGAGAAGACTGAGGAAACTCTCCCAATTTCCTCTTCTTCTGTAGACCTTGGGAGAAAATGCATATGCACATTCTTGTAATTGGAGCATAAAAGGACTGCACTTTTAGGTAGATGGTCTTTCAGAATGCTGACATCCTGTGTTCACAATCTTCCTGGCTGCACTTGTATTGTAGTTCCTCATATTCTTCCTTGGGGTTATCTTTTGAGAAGCCTGTTGGACTGTTGCTGTATGTTGAGAATTCTCTGTGTCTCAGTCCTCCTTATGCCCATCTGTTATGTTTGTAATATCATTAGGTTGTGTTTTCTATGTGAGATGTTAGTTTGCCTATATCACAGGTTTCCTTACTGGAGTGATCTGGGATCTTTCTGGGCATGTGGTCCAGTGCGTGTGCATCAAAGATTTAGTCCTCTTGTACACGGTACTGATATTTGAGTATCTCTGCTTTCAGGTGCTTGTTTTGCGCGTATTCGTGCATATTTATGTGCATATTTGGCACAAATGCGCAAATTTTCATACACAATATATTCTTAGGGGAAAATGCATTAATATTCATGCTCATATGTGCGTATTTGCGAGCATTTGCATGCAGGTGGTGTAAATTACTGACCAAAAATGCAGATTTTCCTATTTTTCTTCCTACTGAGGAATATGTGGCACTTCTGTACGTGCCTGTGTGCAAAGGCACATGGTAAATAATGGGATACATTTTACCTCAGTAAAAAAAAAAAAAAAAATATAACAAAATGCTGTACTGAGCTTTATCAAGCTGCAGTGTGCAAGAGGCCTTAATCTGTGGAAGTGTCAGGATTCTGGTCTCGGTTAATACTGGGAGAGATTGGCAGTGCAGAAGTCTCACCTTAACCCTGATCCTGCTCCTAATATAGATTTGAGGAATGATCCATGTGAACTGTGTTGCTTGGCATCGTTGGCATTATCTTGTCTACCGCTGAGGGCTTCACCAATTGTTTTGTGACAGTCTCTGCCACTCAATCCTATGAGAATCATATCAACTTTGGATACAGCAGGGACAAGGCTGTCAGATGCTGCTGGTGATGTGAGTGAGAGCGCAATATACCAGCTTGTTAGAGCTCGTATTGTCTCCTTGTGTTGTGGAGGGATACTAGGCTGTGGCTCTTTGAAAGTCTGTATGAATGTCCACTCCTGCCAGTTGCTGTGTGTTGTAGTATGTCAGCAATATATTCACATGCATTTATGAAGTTACTAAGAGGCCTAGTTTTGATTTAACTACCGTATTTTCCGGTGTATAAGACGACTGGGCGTATAAGACGACCCCCTGCTTTTCCTGCCAAAATGTAGTGTTTCGGCTATACTCGCCGTATAAGACTACCCCTCTAGCAATGCACACCAGTGGGAGGAATAGTGCCCCATCATTGGTATTAGTGGGAGGAATAGTGCCCCATCATTGGTGTCAGTGGGAGGAATAGTGTCCCATCATTGGTATTAGTGGGAGGAATAGTGCCCCATCACTGATGTCAGTGGGAGGAATAGTGCCCCATCATTGGTGTCAGTGGGAGGAATAGTGTCCTCATCATTGGTATTAGTGGGAGGAATAGTGCCCCATCATTGGTGTCAGTGGGAGGAATAGCACCCCCATCATTGGTGTCAGTGGGAGGAATAGTGCCCATCATTGGTATTAGTGGGAGGAATAGTGCCCCATCATTGGTGTCAGTGGGAGGAATAGTGTCCCATCATTGGTATTAGTGGGAGGAATAGTGCCCCATCATTGGTGTCAGTGGGAGGAATAGCCCACATTGGTATTAGTGGGAGAAATAGTGCCCATCATTGGTGTCAGTGGGAGGAATAGTGCCTCATCATTGGTATTAGTGGGAGGAATAGTGCCCCATCATTAGTGTTAGAGCAAAGAATCGTGCCCCATCATTGGTGTCAGTGGAAGGAATAGCACCCCATCATTTGTGTCAGTGGGAGGAATAGCACCCCATCATTGGTGTCAGTGAGAGGAATAGCACCCCATCATTGGTGTCGGTGGGAGGAATAGTGCCCCATCATTGGTATCAGTGGCAGGAATAGTGCCCCATCATTGGTATCAGTGGCAGGAATAGTGCCCCATCATTAGTATCAGTGGGGGGAATAGTGCCCCATCTTTGGTGTCAGTGGGGGGGGGGGGATAGTGCCCCATCATTGGTATCAGTGGGAGGAATAGTGCCCCATTGTTGGTGTCAGTGGGAGGAATAGTGCTCCATCATTGGTATCAGTGACACCAATGATGGGGCACTATTCCTCCCACTGACACCAATTACACTTGCTGACCTCTGTTCTAGTATGGTGCTGCTGCAGCCAGCATATGTGGTTGCAGCAGCACCTCTACACGGCACACTTACTGGCCGCTCCTTCACTCGATTTTCGCGGGGCTGCGCGGCTCCGCCCCCTCGTCGGTGATTGGCTGCCTGTGTGCCTTTCCTGAGCTACAGTTCTGACGGCCAATCACCGGTGAGGAGGCGGAGCCGAGCAGCCACGCGAACATCCAGTGGCCGAACTGAAGGAGCAGCCGCGCTACCTGGACTGGAACGTCGTGGGACCGGAGCCAGGTAAGAAACAGCAGCCCCTGCCCCCCCTGTACTTAGTGTCCCTTCCATTGGAAGGGGGGGGGGGGCAGCGGCAACGCGCCGCCCCCCTAAAAAGTGTCAGTATGCTGTATACCGGCGTATAAGACGACCACCGACTTTTGAGAAGATTTTCAAGGGGTAAAAAGTCGTCTTATACGCCGGAAAATACGGTAGTTCAGGTGACTAATACAATGATCAATATTTTTGCCGTGTTCTGTAATAGATGTATTCTACTGTGCAATTTTATTTAGAGTGATATTCTTAAATGTGTTTCTGTTGATCTCCAATGTGTGTATTTTCATTGACATTAGATTTTATTTCCAATCCAGAAACAGGATGAAATTTAGAGGTATTTTTTTGTATAGTTATATTGGCTTAGCTTGTACAAGTGTAAGTATGCATGGGATTCCCGTGGAAGCTGAAAATCACTGTAGTAGGCACTGCTACTACAGAGATTGCCACTGTCTTCAGGTCTAGTGCTGAGCAGCTGTCCTATATAGTGAACACAGCAGGTCATTCACTCAGCACAGGCGCCAGTCAGAAAACACTTTGCATTTTCTCTATGAATGCAAAGCTTTCTCTGATTGGATGAGGTGTAAATGTGTGACAAGTGAGGGCATGATTTTAATCAGGTAACGCTTTTCATTCATTGAGAAAATACAAAGTGTTCTCTAATGGTGCCCATGCTGAGTGATGGACCCACCCTAAACAAAGTAAAATGA